GCAACAAGTCCGTTGGCAGCAACTTTGTCTTTAGCATCAGGGTCTGCACGCGCGGCATTGTCTACGCGTGCGGCGCTGTTGGCATCTGCCTGTGGCTGGGCGCTGGCGATGACTATCGGTGGGGCGACAGAGGTACATGCACGCTTTTCACTTGGAGTTGCCGAGACCACGGGGCCGACCGTGGCGACGGGCATTGGGAGGCTGGCCAGGACGCCACGAGGCGAGTCCAAAGGGTCATGGAGCATGGTTGAAAAGCCGCCCATGACATTACATACAACAACTGCCTATACCAAAACTTGATAAATGATTGCAGATGGATGCTAACTAGAGCGGGGGTGCCTACGGTGACACATGTCTTCAGGGAAGCAAATGGAGTCGCTGACCTTATGGCCAAGAATGGAAGCAGCTCAAATATTTTTGGAAATCCTATGTTGTATTTTATCCCGCCCCCTTTTGTTGTTTCTACTTTTGAATTGGACAAGCTAGGAACTCTGTGTCCTAGAATAGTCCCAACTTGTAATGACTCTTAAGTCTGATGGAATAAATGTCTTCATTACCCCAAAAAAAAAATATTAACCTAGTAAATATCAAATCCTAGACAACTTAGGAATAATAATTAATATTGATTTAATTTCTAACATATCATATCCTTTAAAACTTTTTGAGAGGTCAATATCTTAACCCTTTCTGATGGAGTTAGTGAGTGAGATGGACTATTTTCAGAGTTGAGGTCTTGTAACTTCCGAATGAAAATAAATAGAAAATAGAGTGCATAGTTTTTCAATATGAAACTACGATATTAAAATGAATTATAGGAAATAAATTTTGATTTTTTAAATTTTGAAATGCGAGATAATGAAGAAGGAGAAGTCTCAAAGTTTGAATTAAAATTTTTAAATATGGAATAAGAAATAGTTGAAAGTGCCAAAACCTTGAGATTCCTTGTTACATTAAAAATTTAAGCTCTCGTCTCTAAGTTATCTCTCTCTTCCCAACCACCTTTCTCTATCATATATGTTTCTTTATTAATCCATGATCAAAACGTGCTCAAACATTGAAACTATTTATTTGAACCCTCTCTAGAAGCTTTCTAAGCTTTATTCAAGAAAAGATACCATGTATCTCTTTAAGTACATAATACTCTTTGAATCGTGGCAGGACCAGATTCATCAAAGGAAATTTTTTTTTTTAAAAAAAATGCAAAATAATTCAACATTGAATATATATACTTAAAACTTTTTTTATCTTGTTTACCGAGTATAGTCTTTTGACGAAGGGGAGAACTTGAATTTTCGGAGGATGGGTGCACTATTAAATAAGAGATCAAAATCAGTACACCACTTTGTCTCTTTTGATTATGGGTTCCATCAAATATATATATATATATATTTATTTATTTATTTTTGCCAAATTATATATATCATATCTCTACTTTAATCTGAGGAATACGGGTTCACGTGAACCATATTTTACACTTTGATCCCTCTCTGGGACTGTAGCCTTTTCGTGCCCCTAGCTCCACCCATGCTTTTGAGTCTTGACAATTCATTCCTACTTCAAATCGTTTTATTTTTTTAAACCCCCAATCTTATTTAAAACTTCATTAAAAAGATGATCAACTTAAAACCTTATTATTTTTCTTTTTACATGAGCCTCATAAAATTAATATCCCTAGAAAAGGTTGTAGTACTAACTAACGCAGATGCCTATTACATTAATACTATAGATAAACAAACATTTTATCCTTGACCATAGAGAGAAAAAAGAAAAAGAGGGTCAACCCTAGTTTTATATCTTTGATTAATGAAAACTATAGTTGGAAAATATCCAATAAAAACAGTTCATTTAAATACTCTGTTTATGGTTCATAGGTAACCTCCCACTACTTCATATTCTATATCTATATATTGCACCAAATATTTTCATATACAAAGCTCTGTCCTCTCTCCTTTTAAGCTTTCAGATTTATTTGGCTGACCTTAAATTAAATGGGGAGGAAATGCTCGCACTGTGGTATAACTGGTCACAATTCACGAACCTGTAAACCTCAGAAGACAAAAATTGATGGAAAAAATGAAGATGCTACGTCCAATATTGGTATGAAACTTTTTGGTGTGAAGCTTGAAATACCAAAAACATCTTCTTTTGCTAGTACTGCTTCAATGAAGAAGAGTTTTAGTGTTGGTTGCCTTCAGAATTCGTCGAAAATTTCTTCTTCAACAGCTGGATCTTTTACTTCCAATTGTAAGATGTTTTCAGATGAAAACCTGGATTATAAAGTGTCGAATGGTTATCTTTCTGATCATGAATTGGTTGGAAGAACTTCAGATAAGAAAAAAGGTTAGTGTTCTAATTACAAACTTGATTTTTTCCTTTTGTTTTTTCTATTTCAAGATTTGATCTTTTACCGGTAATACTTCTTCAGTTTCACATATTTCATAATCTAGCCACAAAACCGTTTTATGAAATTTCAGAAAAGTTTTTATGCTTTGGGGTTATGATCTATGACTATGTAGTGTTTCTCTCTCTCGATATACAAACATGAAAATCTTGAAATGATAGGATCTTTGCACATATTCCACCTGAGTTAAATGTTTACCTTTCCTAACTGATTACATATATTATATATTTATGTACTTATTTTAGTTGGGTGGACAGCTATTTAAGTTAATACTTTTTAATTATGAGAAATTACTCTTTTGTAATTCCTTGTTTTTCTCCGCTTTAGTTTCAATAAATTTTTGTTGGAATATCTATTTTATAAGTAAATTTATTAATTAAAGTGGCAAGGAAATTGCAATCCGGAAATATAGACCTGACGTTAAAGAATTTCTTTTTTCTAGAGAAGGGAACTCCATAGTTCTTCACATGCTAATCTTTCTTTCTTTCAAACAAGACACCCTTGATTTGTTTTGTTCTTCTTCCTTTTTTTCTTTTCTTAATGTGAGCAGCCACCCAATTGATGACAAAAGAAGGTTAAGTACGTTAGTTATTTTTGCTAATTTAAGAGATAAACAGTACCTTTTTTTTAAAATTCCGAGTAATCTAATATTTTTATTAGTTAGAGTTGCAACTTTGGTTATGTGGCTTCAGTTGAAGTTTATATCACCTAAACAAGCATGCCATCGTAGGTAAAAGAATAGGCTTATAATAAGTAATAAATAACATTAAATCAACGCAAAAGAAATACCATCAAATGATCATACAGAATAAATTGATTCATTTTGTTTTAAATTTCCAAAAAAACTTAATATGGGAGATGCAGCTCCTCAAATAGAACATTCTTATATAGTCGCATGAAAAGTGAATACATGCACAATTGTCGCCAACATTATAATAGGATTATACTCAAGTGTGAATGTCAAGTGTTTAATCTTGGAGCATAAATTTCGAACAAATGTAAAACTCCGTTATGTCTTACTTTAAAGAGATCTTTAGCCAAATAGTCGGCCGAATTCACTGTTACTTTTTCGAATATGTATACATAAATTATATACTGATTATTAATGATTATATACATATTATATAGTATGAAATATTCATATATTATATCCATCGATTTTTTTAGTTTAAGCGATGGGATGAACGACTATTTAAGTTTAATTCCATGTTGCTTTTGAATTTGTCTGACTTTATTCGGTTCGTTTACTTTTACTAGTAAAAATATATTCAAATAATAGGTTTGGTGAAATTTCCGTAGGAGTTCCATGGACAGAAGAAGAACACAGGATATTTCTAGTTGGATTGGAAAAACTTGGAAAAGGAGACTGGAGGGGCATTTCTAGGAAATTTGTCACAACAAGGACACCAACCCAAGTAGCAAGTCATGCCCAAAAGTATTTTCTTCGCCAAAATTCTCTCAATAGAACCAAGCGGAGACGCAGTCTCTTTGACAAGGTACTTAACTAAACCCCATTTAATTTCTCTCCTTTTACCAATGACTCAAAATTATTAGTAGTAAACTTCGCAAAATTGATTTTTCAACTATGACAATGCGAAGTCTATGTTACTCGGGCTCTTCAAAAATATCGCCGGATATGTGTCCGATCTTCTAAAAGCTATGAATTATTTGGAGGATCCACATGGGTGCGATAATATTTTTTGAAAAGTGGAAGCAACATAGCTTGGAGGTGTCATAATATGGCTGTGATGATCCCTCTATGTTTAATCAGAGTTCTCCAGTTCGAGCCATGGGAATGACAGTCTCACGTTTTACTTCCTTAGTGCGTGGGGCATTGCGACACGAATCCAGATTAGCCGAACGAATTTTGAATGTCGGGTGCCAAAAAAAATTGGTTCTTCGAATATGAATGTTGTATACCTTTCCATTCTTCATTAAAAAAAAAAAGAAGAGGCAAGCCCGGTGTATTAAACTCCCGCTATGCTCGGGGTCCGGGGAAGCGCCGGATCACAAGGGTCTACCGTACGCAGCCTTACCCAACATTTCTGCAAGAGACTATTTCTACGGCTCGAACCCGTGACCTCCTGGTAACGGGGCAACAACTTTACCAGTTACGCCAAGACTCCCCTTCAATTCTTCATACTTAAAATAAAAAGCTCTAATTTTCCAATTTACAATGCAATTTACTAGATTCTTTTATTTTAACCTTTTTTCTTTAAAATTCAGCTAGTAAATTCTTTTTACACCTTTTTAATAACCAAGTTAATCATCGTCAGGTTGGGATGGATAAATCAACTATCTTACTGTTTGATAAAAGTGTTACCAAGACAAAAGAAAGCAGATCCAAGTCAACAGAGGATGATGAAACAAATATTTCCATGATAACTTTTAGTACTTCACCAAGCAAAGATTCAAAGTTAGCAACATTCGTTAATCTCCCATTTATTAATTCAAGTGATTATATTTCATTTCAAGATTCACCAAAGCCAGACCTAGAGCTCACCCTTGCAGTACCAAGGCAACTCAATAATCAAAGAAGAAAATCAGGTGGTCTTCTTGGTGGAAATACAATTACTGTCGTTTGATTAAAACATTCTGCTCATGTTTCATGTAATCAAACATAGTATAAGAAATTAGGAAATTAATTAAGTAGATGTCCATAAAAATAATCAAAATTTTCTATGTGATATGACTGATATGTAACTTTGTAAATGATGCCCTACCAGCATCACCCTTGGTCCCCCAAGCTTACCACAAATACATTTTTTTATTCCATTTTAAAATATTAAATGTTTCATCAGTGATAAAAGATATGAATTAAGTTCCAAAAGTTTGCTAGCAAGATAATTCTAATGATTTGTTAAAGGATGTTTTACTATTTTGCATGTCACATCATATCCTACTAAGTATCATATCACTTACATAAAGTATTTTAATTAGATGTCGACATTTTGAGTATATATATGTTAAACTTATGACAAATTTCAAACCATTGGTTGAATATTTTCATTCGCTAGGCATGTTTAATTTGTCCACTGTTATTGGTAGGGCTCGTACGTAGTGATAATGTTCCTTAAATCAATATTAACTATTTCCATATTATGTTCAGATCCTCTGGTGTCTGTTGGAGGAGATATATTGAAGCTCTCCCATCTTAAAAACCCGATAGAATGCGATCTCATAGTCAATTTCTTATAAGGGGATGAAATGTGTATTTCAGTAATTTTTAGGTTTTTAAAACATTTAGTCAGGTCAAACAACTTTTAAGTCTATGTTTTTCAGTAAAAACAACTTTTGTAGATGTTCAAATCCCTTTTCAGGTAAATTTAGAGTTTAAAATTGAAGTAAACCTTAACTCCCCTAACGGTTTGTAATTCCCAATTGACTTAAACATATATACAAGATGGTTGTGTACAACAGATGTACTTCTACTTAGCTTGTAGTATTAGCATAGATTCTTCAACCAACCTTTACTTAAGGTAGAAAATTGTACACTTACAGCCCTCTAACGAAAGGTCTCATTACAATCTATTTTGACTTGAATAATTATTTAACCGAAAAACGGATAACGATTGAATTTTTACGTGGTTCTAAAGATACGTAGTATAACTTGGTACAAATTGAGAAAATATATAAATGAATATCGAAATTAACTGTAAAAGAAACGAATGCAGACCAAATGAATTAATTGGCCTAGGCCCTCAAGTTTGATCACTCTCAAACTGAATGGAGAGCAGACTGATACAAGTACAAAAATGACTAAATATCCAAACCAAAAGAAAGGCAGTATATTGCTTTGTATTCTATGAATCTGAATGAATCTCTTTTCCAAATGATCAGACCTCCCTTTATATAGTGGGGAAGTCCTATTCTTAATATAATTTTTAAATACAGCAAGGAATCCCATGATAGATTAATTAATTGGCCTCTCATTGATATGCGTCGTGATTTTCGCCGAGATTCTCGCCCAATTGCGGATATTCCGACTTTCTGTTTTTTGGCTCGATAAGCTTTCCTCGATCGAGGCCGATCTCAGCCTCAATCGGTCTCTATATTGCCCGATCTCAATCTTGGCCGATCTCAATCTTGACCGGTCTCTATTTTGCTCGTGCTTGATCTTAGCCGATCTCGATCTTGGAAGGTCTCTATCTTGATCGGTCTCTGGGTCTCGAGCTCGGCAACCTAACTTCGCATCATGGCTTGATATTACATGAAGTTGAACCTTGGTCTATCATGTTCCAATCTCGATTATTCATACGAAGGGGAAACTCGATTTTGACCATATACAGATAGTCCCCTCGTTTCTCGGAAAGAAGATGACGATAAACGATATGAATTTCCGAACTCCAACTCTGTGGGTGACGATGTCAGCGAAGAGCCCTATTATGACGTATGTGACAAACGTCCTGTCGGTTCAGTTACCAAGGCATTAAATGTCTGTCAGTCGTTGGTCGGCCACTACCAGTTCTAAACCGTCATTACCAAGCTATAAGTATTCAAACCTTCATATTCATTCAAAACTTTTCACTCAAAACTTCTTCTCTACTCTTGCATCTTCTTTAGAAAATTCCTTTGCTTCATAATTTTCACACCGCATACAATCCTAATTCTCTTTTCCCTTGTTCATCAATGGCGAAAACCTCCAAAACAGTGCCGCAAATAGAGGTCGCTTCTTCATCACGACCCACCGGTGGTGAGGGTGCGACGGAGCCTCACCTTGAGGAATTCGTTCCGGTAGGGTGCTCAACCGCCATTGATTTTAAGGTCGAAAAAGCCTCTTCGGTACCGGGCCGATGTGAGCCGATCTCGAGGTACCAGTGTACAATCACTGAGAAAATGCTCGACAAAGTAAAAAAGGAATGCAACTGGGGTGAAAAACACGTGGTAGTCCCATCGCCCGAAGAATCAATTACTACCCATATGGAGGTGTTCTTAAGTGTTTATACTTATCCCTTCACGGTGGGTCCCTTAGACCCCGTTATCATCGCCTTCTGCAACATGTATGACGTGACCCTTGGCCAGAATTATCCTTCTTTTTGGAGAATAGTGATTCTCCTCCGATTTTTCTCGAGCAAAATCGAGGGGTGTCCTTTCACCCTCGATCACCTTGTGCGCCTTTACAGTCCCCGAGTCTATCGAGGAGGGCTAATCAAGCTTGCTCGCCGAGGCCACCAAAGCCCCGCTATCGAGCATAGACGAGACTCGTGACCTAGTTTGGATGTGCCGATTTGTTCGAATCAGAACTTCAGACCTGATCCCTGTTGACGACATGCCGTTTTCTGAGAAATGGAACATGAATCGTGAGTACTATTCCCCTTCGAACGTTTAATTTTATGGCTCTGCTTTTCATTTTCTTGATCCACTTTTCTATGCTTGTTACAACTGTGGCCCGGATGCCGGAACCGATTCCAAAACATAAACAATGGGTAGAAGGTCTGGTACTGCAGAGACCATACTCCGAGTGTGCTTGGATGGAATTATCAAAGGGTCGATGGGAGGCCCGCAGTCATGGTAAGTTTCTTTCTTAGAATAGTCATCGTTTGGTCTTCTTCTCTTGCTTACTCCCCTTTTTTTCTTTTGTAGATCTTTGGAAGGATGTTGTCATGAGGCCCCCATCTTGTGACAAAGAAGTCCCTGCTCCAAAGCAGGTCAAAGAGAAGAAGAGAAAAGGGGCTCCGAGTTCCCCGATCTCGGAAAATAAAAAATCGACGAAGAAATCTCGCAAGCCCAAGGGGGGCTCCGGTATTATGCCTTCGGACTTGATCCGTCGTTTAAGGGACGAGCCCGAAGAAGGAGAAGATGAAGTAGCATGTGTGCGGGCTAATGTTGTGATACAACAACCCTCTGAATCGGTGGAGGTTGATTAGGGAGCTCTGTCCATAATTCCCGAACAAGGAAAAGCTGAGGCAATTCCGTCTCGAGCTGAGATGGTCGAAGGTGAGATCGGGGGCAAGGCTTCTCGTGCAGTAGAAGATATCTCTAGGGACGATATCAGGATAGTTTACATTACTAGATCCCCTCATATTTCGGATGCTACGATCCATGAGGCTAACATGTTGGAAAGTCGATCTTTCGAGGGTGTTCAGGGGTTGACTGATATCCATGGCTTTCTGGATAGGTTCGAGTCCGCTGCCCCGGAGGATATTATCGGGTTCGGTGGGTTACCGGTATCGAAGAAAGCATCATGGTCGGGCGCTATCGGGTCTTCATCGAGCCCAAAACTGGTGGACCGATTCCCGGCCCCGATTGATAATCCCGATTGTAGGCGGAAAATAGTGCTCTCCATCCCGGAGGATGCCCGAGTTTTCTCTCCCCCCACGGGGATTGCTAGTTACCTTAGGTCCTTGGTGACCGAAGAGGATCAAGCCGTGATGAACGCGGTAGGAGCCGCTTGCCTTTTCAACGAGGCCCAACACACTCTGAATCGGGTAACTTCGAGGGTATCTCTACTGTTTCTTTTATATTTAGAATTGTAGATAATTATAACATCTTCTTCCTTGTTTGCAGGCTTCGGTGTTGCATCACGAGGCTTTCCTTCGAATCTGGGAGGAGCCTGAGGCTGAGGTAGGAATGACACCTACAACCTTCTTAGTGAGAAGCTTCGGGCAGATTTGGCAACCGCTCGGGATGAGCATGCCGAGATGGCTGAGCAGGTATTTCGAGTGCTTCATGATAGTGAAGATGAATTGGAGATTACTAATAATGATCCGATTCTGCAGGCCCGATAGAGGTTCGAACAAATCGGACGGCTCCAAACACAAGTGGATGCGATACAGGCCGAGGCGGAAGAATTTAAAAAGAACACGGACATTCTAGCCTCGAAAAAGGAGATCTTCCAAGCTCAACTGGAGTCGGCCGAAACCCAGCTCCAAGCTGCGAAAGAGAAAACCTCGGTGCAGGTCGAGAAGGTCAAGGAGCTTCAGCATCGGTTGGATTTGGCCATTTCTGATAAGGCAAGCTTGGCCGATGAACTCGAAGTGGCCAGATTCGAGGTGGCCGTAGCCAGATCTGAGGTGGCCGAGGCTAACAAAAGAGCTGATGCTAAAGTGGCCCAATTTAGGGTCAATGTCAAAGTCAACCAGGTCAAGGCCAAGGGCATGGTCGAACATGCAAAATGGCAAGCTCGAAGGGAAGCTCTCAAGGGGGTCAGTGCCCAGGGCTTCGATATTGTGGCCAAAATTGAAAATGCCAAAGCGGAGGAAGCCAAGGACCGAAGGATGGCCTTCCCTGAGGAAGACTTCGAGAGCTCAAGTGAATCCGAAGACGGAGAAAATCTCGAGGATGCAACCTCTGATGAAGACCAAGCCACTTAGGACATTAGGTTTCTTATTTTTCTTTTGCATTTTTTCTGAGGCCGTTTTTTGGCCGTTGTAAATTTAGGCTGATTTAGCCTTTGTAAAAAACCATTGTATATAAATATAAGGCTTTTCTTGCCCTTTCGTCTCTCGTATTTTCCCTTTGATTTTTTGTATTTACAAAGGTCGAAAATGCCGTAGCATAAAATAAGGTTGTGTTCGATGGTTCGAACAAACCTTGCCTTTATTTCCTTTCTGGGTTTAGGCGTTATCGGGGTTTGAGGTTATCAAAGTTTTTTCCGGAAAGCATCTTAAGTTTGAGATTTTGCCAAGGGTAGCCTTTTAGAACCGGTTGTGAAAGAATTTTTTATTTTTTGAAGGCCTATTTTTGTTACGGGTTTCGGACGTCTCCGAGCCGTGTTAAATTGGACTTAGCCTTTTAGTTCGGGAGTTACCCATTGGGCTTGTTTTCTCGTTTTATCTGGGATTGCTCGAGATAGTAGTTCCCGAGTGGGGTGGTCGTGACTTTTAGAAATCGGGGCATTGCCTATTAGGTTTTTTTCTCCCGAGACCCGATGACTTGG